CTTTTATCAAAGGAAAATCGTGTCATCATTTTTAGGAGGCGTAAGATAAATCATTTCAAATTTAAAATGAAATTCAATGTAAAATCTGAAATACCGCTGCATACGCACTGTGTTCTGGTAGTAGCTGTAGTCGCCCAGGTGCATCGAGTGTACGAACTGGTCGGTTATACGTCAAATACTAACCTGGCGAGCTTTGCCGTCAATTAGAGAGCGCTTCCAAAAAACAAGTAAACAACAGTGGCGCGTACAGAGGTAAAATGTAGTACATATGTGGAATTTAGGAAACAAATTGGATTTATAATAAATTACATTTAAAATAAATAGTTTATGAGAATAAAGGAATTTTTGTAGGAACAAGGGTGCCAGACCTGAACTGATCCCCTCGTCCCTTCATAATGTATAAAGAAATTATTCAATTTGTAAAACCCTTAAAAACGTACTTCATTGGTTCCCTTGACAGACAATGATTTATTACTTTGCATCGAATATGATCCTACTATAGCTACACTAACACTATTTAAAATAAAAATTAATAACTGAAAAATTTAGATATTTGAGTTTAAAAAAACTGAACACCCTGTATATGCAAATATATTTTCATTTTGTACAGCTCGGGAAAGTAGGCAACTGTGTAGAAAAAAAATTAAATTATATCTTTTATTAACCTAGATATTGGACTTACGCGTACTAGGTGAACATGGTGTATGTACTCGTATTATACAAAGTGGGGTAACTTCTTGCGGATGGTCTTATAGGTAGGGCTGTCAAAGAGAGCCACAATTCAATAGCGTGCCAAGGTCAACCGAGACATGCGTGAGCCATTACCTCAGAATGCCTTCCACGTTAACGTCATAGTAGTATACTATAGCCTTTTTTATCGTGAGGATGTTGCGTTAATTAATTCCTATCCTTTGATGTTTATGGTGGTGTATTGTAGACAATTTAAGTTGTTGCTTTTTGATATATAATGCATACACCTATGTCGCGCGGCTAAGTTCTGACAACCCTAAATACCTAAATTTACTTATACAGGGTGTCCCGGAAATGGTGGGCAATCTCTCGGATATGGATAGATAATGAGAAAATAATGTCACAAGTTCATATAAATTTTTTTCCTCCGGGCTCACCCTGTAGAGTTATTAGCTCTTGAAGTTGAGAATTAAAAATGTTTTTTTTGCTGTAACTTTTATATTTTTCAATAAATTTTGAAAATTTTCCTTCCTCTTTAAACGGGTTTATCTCAAAAAATATCTATTTTATGGATATTCAACAAGTATACCTTTTTTACGTAAAATACCATAAATTTTTATAAAATGATGGAAAATTTGGGGTATAGTGGAACAAAAATTTTTTTTCTAAAAATTTTGGTGGGGGGTGCTTTGCCCCCGGGCGCCCATAATTATTATCGAGGATTTCATATTATCATCCAAAGCAGCTTAAAAGATTATAGATCTAGCTAAAAAATTTTCAAAATTTATTGAAAAATACAAAAGTTACAGCAAAAGAACCATTTTTAATTTTCAACTTCAAGAGCTAATAACTCTACAGGGTGAGCCCGGAGGAAAAAATTTTATATGAACTTGTGACATTATTTTATCATTATCTATCCATATCCGAGAGATTGCCCACCATTTCCGGGACACCCTGTAGGTATAAGTAAATTTAGGTATTTTCTATTTTGTTCACTTCTACAGTGTTTACTTACTTTTATAGGTAAAAAATATTAAGTAAGTACATATAAAATTACATCAATTATCCTGGCGGGCCCGAATTTTGTATCCAGTCAACCAGAGAGTCCATATACCTATGCACTTTTGACGGCATTGAAAAATTATTGATATTCTATTTATTTTCAATAATAATTGCTCTAGATGATGTGCCATGTATAGAAAAACACAGTATTATACTATTTTAGAAGTCGTGCTGGAGTATTTCGGTTATTATTAGAGAATAAAAATTGCAGTTTGCACATCATTGACCACTTTTTGAGAAAATTCTCCAGGTCATAACAGATTTTCCATACGTTTTTAAGTTTTGGCGTTATAGAAAAAACAGAATTTTGATATTTTGGCTGACTTCTGTAGCAGTTACAATTAGACTTTTTTCTCAAATGTTGACGTATCTTATATATTTCTTAAATAAAATCCAGCGGCGTAGAGATATTTTTTAATAATTCTAATGGATTTTCGACCTACCCGTCAAAGTTACATTTTCTAATATAGAAGCCATTGTAAGTTTTGTTTTAATAAGAAATAATTTAATCCTGACTGGTATAAGGATAAAAAACTATCATATCTCAAGTCTCAACTTCAACTTGTAAATAAGAAAGTTGTTATAAAAATAAAAATTTGTTTTGAGTAGGTATATTTAAACAATCACGAATATTAATATTGTAATGCAAATGTTTAAAATTACGCAACTTTTTCATAATTCAATCTTGTTTGTATCTTTCCAATTATTTCAAAATAAGTACAAAAACTTTAAACTATTATTCTTCAGTTCATTTAAAGAAGAAAGCATGACAGGGGGGTCCATTTAGTTGTCCCAGCTTCTATTCTAGCCCTACTCATGGCGAGAGAAAAAAATCTCGTTACGAAAATATCATTGGAACTGGAAAATGCACACGGTGTTGCAAGAAAATGTATTATGCACTTATATTTAAATGAAACATCATGAATTTTTTTGTTCTAGTTGAAGGCTTCTAAAGCTCTCTATACAAACCAAAACTAGTTTAATCTTAAACACCCCTTAGTATAATTTTTTTAAGTATTTTTAAATCAATAGCAGCTATTCAAATTTCAATGTCTCCTGCAACAAGAACTAATTTTTCATAGAATTTTAGAGGGATACTTACTTAGGACTATTACATACGAAAATAGTAAAGTAGTAAACGGCAATAGATTATACAACGAAACAAAATTATTTTATGGATATATATATGTATTTTCAAATTGATTTTTTTCAATTTCTTAAATGAATAAAATGTATTTTATAAGATGGGGTACTAGAGCTTTCGGTTCTCTTTATTTTGATATAAGAAGTATCTTCAGTCATTTTTTAAATAAGACATCTCAGACATCTCAAAGACAAAACTGTTAAATTTTTAGTAATTGAATTAAAAAAATGAAAATATATGGAAAAACTGCCAGTAACTTAATAGTTAGAAATATCAGGAAATAAGTAAGAAAGACGGGTATAGATTTGCAAATAAAAAAGAAACGACGATTTCAAAATGAAACATTCATTGTAATACTGTAACAAAGACTAAATGTAATTATAAAAATTAATAGGTAAATCAGAAAATATAAAAATTTATATACTACATATTCTAGATATTTCTAGATACTAAATTTAACACCAACTCATTTTTTCTATTTCCTTTTAGATTTCTTATCATATATGATTGAAATTGTTGTTATATGTATGTATGTATATAATAATTTTCATTGGCTCTTGTTTTTTTAGTATATTTAATTTTTATATCTTAAAATCCACGTGATAAAAGTATACGTCTTGGTATCACAATAAAGAGAATTTAAGGTTCTAACACCCTGTATAAAATAACATTGTTCTATCGTTATTTTCGCATGATACTGATCTAGTTAAGATTTTCTAAAATTTCATTAGATATCGAATTCCTTATACAGAAGATACTGAAATATGTATGTACAGTGAAATATAGTCATATAGGGAGGCTTTAACTGGAACTAAATGGAACACATGGTCTATTCCAAAGTGTTCCGTTTCTAATATATAGGGTGATTTGGAAAAAATGTAAAAGAATTTGAGAAAGATAGATCATTAATAATGTTGTAAGTTCCTTATATAGTTATAGCTAATTATAAATTCTTGCAATGGTATTAACGATTTAGTAGTTACAATGGCATTAACTTAGAAACGACATGTTTTATTTATTATTTGGTCATGTAATAGAGCCATTAAACTGCAAGCGATAAGAATTATTCAGT